ACATGTCAGAGTGAACTGCAGTGGTGAGGTCTGTGCAGGGACAGGACAGTGGGGATGGAAGGGGGTGAGGGAGGGTCAGGCTGAGGGCAGCGCTGGGCCTGCATCTCAGAAGTTCCCGAGGACACAGGGCCTCTCTGTAGGATGCACCACAGCCCTGGATTCCTAAGCAGGGCCTGTGGGAGGCTGGACAGGCCTGGCCTGGAAGTCACAAGTGGTGGCAAGGAAGCCCCTCCCAGCAATGGGCCCTGATGTCACCTCTACAGCTGGGGGAGGAGCTCCTTGGCCGGTTCTGCAGCCTGGCCTGGACCTTGGATCAGGATCCATGTGCTGTCTCAGGAGGCACAGGACGGATGTGGGGCAGCCAGGCCTGACCCCAGGCTAGGGGGGGTCCCAGGACACTCCCTTTACTCTCTCCACCCCCCAAACACACCCCTCAGGCCCAGAAGTTCCTGTCACCCTCGCTCCAGATCCCAGCATTTTCTGGAAAATTAGCAGCCATTGCCACACCCCCCTGGGTACCTCCACTGTGAGAATGAGGCAGGAGGGGTGTGTGTGTGGTATGTGTGTATGTGTGTGTTTTTTACCCCTGTCTGTGCTCCTCTGTCCCCAGAGAGTTTATCTGTCACCATTTCTATGTCTTCATTTGACTGTGTTTTTGTATTTCTATTTGTGATTGAAGTTGGTTTATAATTTTTAAAAAATAACTTGTTTCATTTCCTTTGTTAGTTTCCTGTTTTTTTCTTATTCAAAAACAAACCATTCGTTACAGGAAATAAAATAAACAAAAAACAAAAACATTTGAAATACAAACAGTCCCACCCACCCAGAGGCAATCACTAGTTAAGACTTAGACATGCAGCTTTTTTCTATGCATCTCCCATGCATCTAAGTGCATTTTAACAAAAACGCAATTTTACTACATGGCATTTTTTGTTCTCTCATTGACTCTACTTTTACTTACTGAGATGATGAATGCCCTTTCATGTTGAGTTTAAATCTGCCCTAGCCAGTTTGGCTCAGTGGATAGAGCATTGGCCTGTGGACTGAGGGTCCCAAGTTTGATTCCGGTCAAGGACCTTGGTTGCAGGCTTGATCCCCAGCCCTGGTCAGGGTGCGTGTGGGAGGAACCCAATCCATGTGTCTCTCTTCTACTGATGTTTCCCTCTCTCTGGCTCTTCCCATTCCTCCCGCTCTCTAAAAATCAACTGAAAAATATCCTTGAGTGAGAATTAACAGCAATAAATCCACCTCATTGTTTTAAGCCTGTGTTCAATGTTATGGCTATGCTAGGCTTTGCTGGACTGGCCCCTGTCCCTCTTGATTGGTGTTTCGGCTGTGTCTAAGTTTTCACTGTTACAAATGCACTGGATGAGTGTGTGTGTGTGTGTGTGTGTGTGTGTGTGTGTGTGTAGCATTGCTTATCTTTTCAAGTGTCATGTCCTGGGGGGAGCTGGGACCTGCAAGGCACGAGGACCCTTTTCTCCTTGGAACAAGTGGTTTCCTTTAAAGAAGGTACTTTTCCAGAAACATGTAATTTCAGGGCCTCCTGACTCCAGAATCCACCTTGTCCCAGAGAGAAACGCCCCCCTAATTGCAGGCAGGATGTGGAGAAAGAGCAGGGTGGGGTGAGCTCCTCCCGACAGCTGGGCCTTGCAGGTCTCCCCCTCTCAGACATCATCTTGACAAGGCAGGACAGGATTCTCATCTCCCCTGTGCAGCCAGGGAAACTGAGGCCCAGCAAGTTCGTGGTGGGGTGGGGCGAGGACAGGGCTGGGTAGAGCACAGCAAGGGTGAGGGGTGCAGCTGGGAGGGAAGCCCTAGGAGGTGAGGGGGAAGCAGGACCTGTGCGTGGAGGGCAGTGGCATCTGCCGAGAGAAGCCCTGGAAGGCCTGGCAGGCCGGCTCGGGGCTCAGGCATCAGCCTGGAAGTCCCGCCCTCACCAGGTGTTATCTGGGGGAGGCTGTGGGCTGCCCGTGCGATCTGTGTACGGCAGAGATCCCTTTCTTCCTCAAAGTCAGAGATGGAGGTGGGGGCAGGTGTGAGCAAGGCTTTTGTCCAGGGAAACCCAGAGCAAATCAAATCCCAGGTGCTCTGGCCGTTCCTCCTGAAGACATGCAGCGAGTCTGCTGAGGGTGCCTGACGCAGACCCCATGTGCGGAGGGGAAGGGGGGCAGCTTGGCTTCCTTAGGTCCCTGGGGCGGCACTTCTGGGGGGCATTGGCCCAAAGCACCTCAGAGTGGGCGCATCTAGGGGTGACAGGCTGCTGTGAGCACCGAGAGGGGAGATAGAAAGCACAGCACCTGCGTAGTGGGAGGCCGAGAAATAGGAACCAGTAATCGCAGAGCGAACAGAGAGGAGCTGGGTTTGGAACTGGGCGGCCGGGGCTCACTGGGGCTCCGATTCCAGGGTGACCCGGAGCGACCCCTTCCCACGCTGCCACCAGATAAGCACTCTCCGGGCTTTGCTGGGTTCCGGTGCCAACCCAAGTCCCTGTCCCTGCACTGCCACCTCCCTCTCCTGGGGATAGAGGAGCTTCTGGCTGGCCTGTCCCAGACACGGTGGGCTGCACCGGGCGGAATGCCAGGAGCATTTTGGGCCAACACACACCACAACATACACCAGTGATGGCGAACCTATGACACGCGTGTCAGAGGTGACATGCGAACTCATTTTTTTGGTTGATTTTTCTTTGTTAAATGGCATTTAAATATATAAAATAAATATCAAAAATATAAATCTTTGTTTTACTATGGTTGCAAATATCAAAAAATTTCTATATGTGACACGGCACCAGAGTTAAGTTAGGGTTTTTCAAAATGCTGACACGCCGAGCTCAAAAGGTTCGCCATCACTGACATACACCACACAACACTCACGCTCACACACCAAGCACTCATATACCACACACGCATGCACACACACCATACACATCACACACTCACATCACACGCCTACTCCCCACTCACCCCACACCCCACACTCATTCTCATGCCCACGCCCACACACTCACACATGTAAGAAAAGCAGGACTGCTGCAGCCGCTCACCCCCTCTCTGGGTCATCATCCCGGCCTCTCCTTACCCCAGCCCCTCCCCGTACCCACCTCTGCGCAGATGGAGAAAACAGACCATCTGGTATGACACCTTCACCTCCTTTCTCCCCCGACACGCACACAAGCGGCCTTTGCCTGTACCCCAACATCCTTCCTGCAGCATTCCCCGACCCCACGCACATCCGGGCCTGCCCCGCCCGCCCGCTCCTGTGTGCTGCTCCCAGGCCTCCCAGGGGCCTCTTCCAAGGCTCTCTTCCTTGCTGGTGCACTCAGTGTCTTCCTCTCCAATCCTTCTCCCTTGGGCCTTACATGGGCTCAACCTCCCTCTCTAATTTAAAAGAATAATAAACTCCCCCTCAGTGCAGTGCCTCTCTAGCCACAATACATCATTGTCCTTCCCTTCAAATGACCCGCAACTGCGACCTTTCCTTCCTCAGCTCCCACTGGCTTCACGGCCCTCGCACCCACATGCACACTCCCCCCACGTGCACACGCCCCCCACGTGCACACGCCCCCCACGTGCACATGCCCCCCAAGTGCACCCCCCACGTGCGCACGCCCCCCACGTGCACACCCCCCACGTGCGCACGCCCTATCCAAGCACACCAGGGTAGGGCTGCTCCTTCACTCAGGTTGTTCTCACCAAGGTCACTGTCAACTGTCGGGTTGCAAAACCCAAGGTCTCTTCTCTGTGCTCGCCTTCCCTGAGGCTTCCCACTAGTTGGACCACCCTCTCTGAGAACCACTCTCTCCTTTGCAGGGTTGCCAGGTAAAATATCGGCCCCCAACATATGTTTCATATAAGTATGTCCCACATGTTACATGGGACATTACTTATACTGAGAAGTATTTGCTGCCTGAGATTAAAATTAACTGGGGATGTCCTGTATTTTTATTTGCTAAATCGCACAACCCTATTCCCTGCTTCTCTGCCCCCCCAGCTCCCCACCTTCCTGTATCTCCAGTTGCTCCTCCTCTTGCCAGCTGCCCAGGTGCTGGCCCTGACTGCCCCTTCTCCAGCTCCCCGCTCCCCTAGGGCAGGGCGGGACCTGCCCATCACCTGCAGAGTGAGGCTGTGACTCCCACCCTCACCCACCCCCATTGCTTTGTTTTCAGAATGACATGTGTGATTCCAGCCTACAGGCCCCGCCCTCCACTGACCCAGGGAGGGTTGTGCGCACACAGTGTAGGGACAGAGCCCTGGGTCTGGGGTCCTAACATTGGGTCCAGCTGAAGGAGGCCTGACCTGGAGCAGAGCCGACTCTCTCTGAGGGCAGGGAGCACCGGGGGCCGACTCTTCATCCCTTGCAGATCTTGCACCTCCATCTCTGCCCACCTGGAGCTCTGGTTTCCAGGCATTTCTTTGTGCTGGACACGCTCACTCATCTCTGACTGGTCTGGGTGCCTCTGAAAACAGGCCCTGCCAAGTTCCTGTGGAGATGCACCCACCATGGCCCCTTCAAGGAAGGACCTCTATCCAGTTTGCTCCCTCCTTCCCCTCACAGGCACTGATCCCTGTAACATCTTGCATCCCAAACTCCATCTCGGTCACTTTCAGAGAACACGACCTACAGCGGTTCCCTTTACTCAGTCCCCAGGTCCTCCCTGCAGCCCGTTCCCTTCCACATGCATCTAGGAAGGCCCTGCTCGAGAGCTCTAGGTCCAAAGCGACCAAGACACGGTCCCCAGGAGCTCCCTCCCTGGGCTGTGCCCCTCCCCTCCCCATGCTCATCCACTCCATCCCTCTGCATCACCCTGACTCTATTGGCCCCTCACCCCTCTGAGCCTCTGCAGCCCCCGCCGCTCTCTCCAAGTCTTCCTGTGGCAGCCACATGGCCAAGGTGGCCGGTCTGGGCACCCTCAGAGGCCAGAGCCCCCCTCAGGGCCAGTCCTGAATAGAGACTGCTAGCCAGGAGACTCAGAATTTTGTACCTTTCAAACTATCCTCTAAGTATGACACAGCATTTATTTCGTGGGTACAGAGAAAACAGATTTTCTAAGAAAAAGATCTGAGCCGTTCTTTGTGACGGAAACAAGAGCGCTGTTACATGCTCTCAGTGTAACACTTTAGCTTATCTGGCATTGGCATTGTCGTTGAGTTCCTGATGTTCTGTCATTCCGGGCTCAAATCACTCACATTCTCTACGAATGGAAGTGACCACTAAGAAAAGAGGAATAAAGTCGCTCTCAAAACAGGCTTCCAAGTCTTCTTTCTGGCTTTCCTGTTAGCAAACCTCTCGTCCTTTCCGTGACTCTGGCTTTCTCTTCTGCTTCCTTTTGTGGTTTTCCAACCCCGACTCTTGGGAGACCCATAAAAGGATATACATCTTCAATTATAAAATAAATCACGCGTAGCCCTTCGGTTTCAGCATGGCAGGGCTGATTTCAGGCAACTGGCAGGGGCTGGCCTCAAGGCTGGGCTCTGTGGGATCTGCACAGGCAAGTAGCAAAAAGGCTCAGCGAGGGGAGCAGGCAAGAAGTGGTTTGTACGAAGCGTCCACTTGAGGGCGCTGCTTCCTCTGGTGGCAATAGAACCAGTTTGTAGGCATCCTGGGATAAACCTGAGTTAACAGAATCTGCTTCCGATAGATTCCAGTTCCCCTGTCGATCAGAAGAGATGGCCCACCGTGCAGTCCAACACCGTTTGCTCACTCACTCTTCAGACCTCTCCTAAGCCCCATCCTGTGGGCGGGGTCCAGTGGAGCTCTTGGGGGTCAGGGCTGACTCCACCGGGTCCCATCAGGGTGGATCTCCTGGGCCACAGGGCACAGCTATCTGGGATGGGATGCAACAGGGAGATTGCTGGACACAGGCAGGGAAGGGCAGGAATGCCAGACTTGGAGGAGTGGGACATCAGGGAAGGCTTGTTGGGGGGTGAGTCTGACCCACCAGCAGAGCAAATCCTGGGGGCTGTGAGGCCTCACATGAAGGTCCAGAAGTCCCGGGCACCCGCCACTGCCTGGGCATGGCGAGCCGGCCCCGTGAAGAGAGAAGCCTCCTGGTGAAACGTGGCCACTGTGAAGCTGCGGCCAGGGCCCCCCTGAGGATCCGGGGCCTTCGAGTCACAGCTGAAGCAGCAGAGGATGCAGGTGATGGCCACGGTGACCACAAACAGCACGGCCACCATGCCAATCACCGCCGTCTCCATGGCCCCGGTAGCAGCTGGTGCACTGAGCAACTGGGTGCAGCTGGAAGGAAGCCTTAGCTCCCCATTCGAACCGGGGCTCTTGGTAGCTCTTCCAGCCAGGCGGGTCCCTGTGGTCTTCTAAGAAGATACTGGTGTGGGGTCCTGGGTAGTGCCCCCTCGAGACCGTGGGGCGCTCTGCATGGCACTGCTCCGGCCTCTGTCACTGTTTCCTCAGCCTGTCCAGGCTTCTGAGAGCTGCGGTCAACTCCACTGGGCGTCTCTGGAAGAAACGCTGACCTGAAAGATGTGCGCTCAAGTCTCCCGAACTCGGAGGAGCTGGGAGGAGGGGGCAGAAGGCTGCTCACAGGGAGCCTTGCCAACCCGGCCCTCTGGCGACGCCTGCGGATTTGAGGAGAGTTTGTACACTCAGACAAAAGACAAAAAAACTCCCCATCCTGCAGATCCGGGATGAGCTTGGGCTCCTCCCCTGAGGAACCTTGGGCCAGTCCTTGAATCTGCTGCCTCCTGAGCCCCTGGCCTGTGCTAGGGGCAGGGACACAGGGGGACAGAAGACAATGCCAACCCTGACACAGTGGGGGCGTCTGTGAGTCCACAGGGGCCTGGGGCAGGGCGGTGGGGGAGGCCTGCTTCATGCGGCCTCCTTTCCTGCTTGGGGTTGGAGCGTGTGTTTAGATAAGGCCCGGACGTGTGGCCTTTGTCCTACACAGGGAAGCCCTCGGCTGTGCCGGCCCCCAGCCCTCTGTGCCGCCCGCTCACGCCCCTGCTCACCCTCAGATGCTATGAACACTTACCCTGGGCTTGTCTGGAACAACAGCTCTGACTGTATGTGGTTCCATGGTCTCCTGACCTGGCAGCCACCCCGGGAGCCAGGTCATGGCATGCCCAACCCTGGTGCTGCCGCCTTGGTCCAGCCTGGGCCCAGGCTCCAAGATGTCTGAGTGGCTGAGAGCACTTCCCGAATGCCTTCCTCCCGTGGTGAGTGGGGGCTCAGGGCCTGCGCAGCTGCCTGTCGCCCTTGGTGGCTGCAGTCACCCCACCACCCAAGCACACCCAGGCCATTCCAGCCCTGCCCCCCCCAGGTTCTCCACTTCCCTGGGTGGGGGCGAGCCAGGCCCAGGCCACTGAGTGGTCTGCCAGACGGGGCTCCGTCCTGACACTCACTCGGTCACAGCCCTGTCACAGCCAGAACCTCCTGAGGCCACCACCACGTCTGAAAGGAGACTGGGTTATTGGCCCCACCTGCCCAAACTCTGAGCAGTGGAGTAGTGAGAAACAATAATTCGGGGTAGAGGGCACAGCCAGGCATTCGCTCACATAATTGGTCCAGCAACTCTGTGAAGTGGTTTCGTCTCCCTTTTACAGACTCAGGTGCTGGGAAGCAGCGGTTACAGCACACCTGTGGCCTGTGGCTAATTTGTAATGATAAGAAGAGCACCAAATGGCCGAAGAGGGGCTTCCTGGCCTTCCCTCCTAGTTCAATGCTTTGTTAGGGGCAGAGTAGAACAGGGGGGACCAGCTACAATGACAAGAAATACGAATCATGCTCTGTTTACCATAATAGTTCTGTTCCGATTAGAGAAAGCACATTCCAACCTGGCTGAGAGCTGTTTGCCCTGGGACATGGGAGCTGGCATGGGAAGGCAGGCCATACTCCTTTCCCGAGAACTTCGATCACTACGGAAAGATTTACAGCCTCCTGGCTGAAGCAACCTAGTCCCGGAGGCACCCGCTCTTTGCAGCCCCCAGCCCTCTTGCCTGTAACCATGAGACCTTGCCTGCTTCCCCAGGCCTGTAATTCTTACTTTCGCACGTAATCTTTGCCCTTCTATCCAATATAAGCAGCTGGTTTATGGGGAAAGGTAGCAGATTTTTGTGGATGACTTGCTGCTCTCCCATCCTGGAATAAACACTCATATATGATTCAACCCTGTCTCTGCTTAATTGGTTCAAGTAGTGACAGGCAGCCCAGACCCTTTGATTGTCCGGTTATATTTCCACAGAGCAGTCCCCTCGTTCTACAGTTTTACTGATCAGAGTATGGAGCCTCAGAGAGGGCAAAGGGCTAGCCCGCAGTCACACAGCCTGGGTCCTTTGCGATTTCTCCAAGGCCCCGCCCCGGTAAACTTTCTTTAGTAGCAGCTAAAGTACTGCCTACACACAGAATGGGAGAGTGACTACTGGGAGTGGGATACCCTGTCAAATCCCCACTCTTCCCTTTTCTAAGATGATTGAACAAACCTGGGCTCGGGGCGCCTCCTCAGAGAGGGCAGAGGAGGCGCATGGAGCAAGCCGGGGCCATACCTGAAGGCCGGACACCTGGAATTACTTGTATTAACTGGGACAACCAGAGAGAAGGAAATGTGAGGAGCCAATCTGGTGCTGGTGGTTTCAGGTCGAATTACCAAGATCAACTAGTCAATTCAGGAGATAGAGGGTATCAGGCAGACCCGGTTTCAAGCTGGGTTATTTGTTCCTTTGACTTCTCATTTGCCTTTTCTTTGTGGGTGAATGGTGTTGGAGGCCAGCTGTGGTAGGTGTGCATTGTTCAGCATTTTAAAAACTAGCCCAGCTGACGTGGATCAGTGATTGAGCGTCAACATAGGAACCAGGAGGTCATGGTTCAATTCCTGTTCAGAGCACATGCCTGGGTTGCAGGCTTGATCCCCAGTAGGGGGCATGCAGGAGGCAGCTGATCAATGATTCTCTCTCATCGTTGATGTTTCTCTCTCTCTCCCCCTCCCTTCCTCTCTGAAATCAATAAAAATTAAAATAAAGTAGAATGAAGTAGAAGGGTTCAGGCCTCTTACCTTCAGCCTTGTATTGATTTCCTTTTCTGTTTCTGAGATTGGGGACCCTCCTTGGATTCACCTGTAAAACAGGCCTTCTGGTCCATCCTCATAATAGGCACTCAGAATTTGTGGCATAATGAGAGGGAGCCCAGTTATACAGTGAGGACTGCACAGTCTGCTTCGAGGGCTCTTAGCAGTCTTCATGGATCTCACACGGGCAATCTGCAACATGGGATGACCAATGTGGCATCTCAAGCCCAGGGCAAAACAACAACAACAACAAAAACCATCAACAAAAGTGGACCAAGTTCAGACACCTCCTGCAAGAGTGGGGCTTCTGCAGGTTCCGGAGTTTATCCCCCTGGAGATGGGCTGCAGGAGGTGGAGCCCAGGAGGCCAGCCAGGGCAGCCTCAACCTCCTCCCAGCTCAGTATCCTCGCTCCCAACCATCCTCGCCCCCAACCATCCTCAACAGTCTCTTTCTGTTTATCGGCATTGTCAGGAGAGTTGAGAAGAGCAAGACAGCCATCAGCCTTTGCCCACAATTCAGAGATGTTTGTCCTAAGGGTACTTTCCACCCCTTCTCTTAGAGTTGTGTCTTGTAATCAATCCTGTGATATGCAGCCCCTGCCCCCCCCAGCCCCAGATGCCAAAAGATGTCTATCACTTAGATACGCACGCGTCCTCCAGCATCATCTTCATCAAATGACCAGAAAAAAGACCACCTTCCAAACATCCCACTTACATTAACAAGGGAAAAGGTGATGCAGGCATCCTGCCATGAAGAACTGCGTGGGCTCTGCAGAAAGAGGAGGGGGAGATGGCCAGAGGGCTGCAGCCTCCACCTGTTAAATGTTTCCTGCCTTTCAGACCCCACCCCCACCGCCAACACTAGGAAGATGGAGCAGGAGCCCCCTGGGAGGCCCCAGGAGCCCAAAGACCTAATCCCACAGGGCCCTGTGCTCTACTTGGTGTCCCTCAGGCCCCACTCCCAATCGTATTTACTTTTCCAGAGTCTCCAGGGGAGAATCCTTCCTGAGGATCTGTTGTATGGGCCGTTCTGTGCTGGGGGGCAAGGAGCCCTCAGGGATTTCTCAGCTCTATGAGGGCAGGGCCCTTGAATCCTGCCGTAAATCTCTGGGGAGAGAGATCAAGTGTGGTCAGTGCTCCAAAAGGAATAATAATAATAATAATAAAGTTGGAAACCCATGGGAGGGCTTCTTCTTGGACAAAGACACAGAGAGGGTAAAGTGCAGGGTGTTTTGGGGGGTTGAGACTGAAGCAATGTGAATGGAACAAAAGAGCATGGGGATAGGCACGAACCAGACCAGGGGCCTTGAATGGCCAACCAAGAGGCAGAGACTTCATCCCAAGGGCAGTGAGGAGTTTCAGCCATTCCCTCCCATTCCCTCCGGCTGTCTCATGGAGTTGCTTCAGAAAGCCGCTGACCTGGACAGGGCCCCAGGCTGGGGGATGAGCCAGGGTGGGCACTGGGGCGGGGGAGGGGAGGCGGATTGGAAGGACACTGCAGAGATAAAATCAACAACACAGGGAACACGGGGTCCACTTTCCCATCCCAGAAGTCTAGTGTGACTGTCCGTGTGAATTTGCCTCCCTCGCCCCCGTGCCCCCAACCCAAGCACTCACAGAGAATCCACAGGGAAACAGAAAAGAAACAGGACGTTCTGCTCTGTTCTGTCCCTGTGAGTCAGCAGTCCCCTGCCTTTCTGGCCTGCTCTCAGGCCCCTCCCCAGGCCCCCAGGCCTCTCCTCCCTCCACTTCCCACTCAGCTCACAGGCCCAGGCCCGGAACAGGATTTCCTCCACCCTGTGGAATTCTGCCAGCTATTCCTGGGATGTTTGGGAACTCGCCTCCCAGCCGGCCTGGCCTGGCCGGAGTCTCTGTTATCTGTCCCACTTTAGGGAAGAGGAAACTGAGACCCCAGGAGGCAAGCACTCTCCAAGACCACCCAGCACCACATCTCCAGTGTAAAGAGCACCCCCCACCCCGCAACCCCATGGCCATACACAGGCACCACCGGGAGGGCAGGCTGCTGGAGACTCAAGGTCTGAATAAGAAACCCTGACCCAGTTACCAAGGAAACACTGAATTCAATACGCCCGCGGAGAGGGGCTCTGCAGGTCCCAGAGCTCAGTCTGCCCTGAACATGGGCTGGAAAGAGCACAGTAGGTAGAACCCTGGCCCAGCCTGGGTGGCTCAACCCTCCGTTTTCTGAGGCCCCGGACTATACCACAGAGCCCCACTGGCACACAGAGAGCCCCCTCTGGTTGTTTTTTGGGGGGGGGAGGGGGGTTCTTGTCAATCCTCACCCGAGAATATTTTTCCTTGATTTTTAGAGAGAGTGGAAGGAGGGGAGAGACAGAGAGAGAGAAACATTGATGTGAGAGAGACACATTGATTGGTTGCCTCCTGCACAATCCCTGACCAAGGCCAGGGATCAAGCTTGCAGCAACTGAGGTACGTGCCCATGACCGGAATCAAACCTCCACCCTTCAGACAGTCCGAAGCTCTACCCACTAAGCAAACCAGCAAGGGTAAAAGCCCCCTTTGGACAGGGCTGCACCCAAGCCTTAAATCCTCCCTTAGAACTTGGGCCCCATGCCTTCCTCACCTAGTGTCCACCGGGCACTGCAGAGCCCACCCAGTTTCCCCCACTGCACAACCAGCCCTCTAACCCCAGCCAGAAGCCACCACCCCAGGCACTCACTTCCCATCAGAGAGGGAGGTCCCAGGGCAATGCAGACTCAGGCCTGGCTGCTCCCTCCCCCCTCCCACTTGAGTTGTAATCAAGAGCCTCTTCACAAAGCTTCTTGGTGGTTTTTATTTTTATTTTTGTATTCAGACACCCGTGAATTAACTGTGCAGCCTCATACTGCCTTGTCCAAATGAAAGGGCATTGCCAGGGCCCCTCCCAGCTACCCCCACCCGTAAGCCAGAGGGGAGAACGTCAGAGGGGAGCACTTCAGAGAGAGCACAGCACATCTTCCACGCATCAGCGTGCACCGGGGCACTGCAGGTGCCCACTGGAAGTTACAGTCGCAAGGTGGCGTCCATCCCCCACAGATCACCCCTGCTCTCACCCTCCTCTCCCTGCAGCATGAGCAGGGCCGCCCCAGGTGTTCCTCCATCCTGTCCTCTGCTCCACAGCTCACTGGGGCACCGTATGCAAATGAAACCCAAGCAGGACCGTGGCGCCGTCCCGTGTTCACACAGAGAGGTGCCCTCTGCACCGGAACATGGGGTCCACTCATCCTGGAGGCGGCAGGGCAGGCAGTGGCTGCCATCCACGGGCGTCAGCGGCGGCCTCGGTGGGTGTGGAGGTGGGTCTGGTGGGGGCGGTGGTGGTGCAGATGCTGGTGGTGCAGTCCCGCATGGTGCATGTGAGGCCCATGGCCCGGATGGTGGGGATGGTGGGGATGGTGGGGATGGTGAAAGTGCCCCAGGCGGCCCCGGGCTGGGAAGAACCAAGGCCGGGTCTGCCGAACTCGGTTTCTCCTGACAGCTGGACGGTTCATCTCCACATCATGGTCCTGCTGTCCACCGTGCAGGCAGGTGGCCAGCACCAGCAGCAGCAGCAGCACGGCCAGAGCAGCGCCTGCCATCAAGCCCACGAGAGTCGTGCTCCCCAGGAGCCCGAGCATCTGGGAGCTGGAGAGTCCCCTCTGCTTAGTGGCTCCTGCTGCTTCCTCCCCGCCGGCGGCCTCTGCTCAGCCCTCACAGTCACTGGACTTTGTTGTCTCAGCTTCTGCAGGCTGGATAGCAGCCAGGGAATGTGGACACAGCCTCTTTGGGCTGGAGCTACAGGCCGAGGGCGAGGCCAGGCAACTGTTAACTCTGAGGGGAGGCTGGGTGAGGACAGCGGCGAGGGCTGTGGAGGGAAGAGCCCTGAGCCTGCAGATAAGAAGGCTAGGCCCCCATCCCTGCTGCCTGGCCAAGCGCCCAGGCCTGCCCTTTCCCCGCCCTGGGCCTCAGCTCCTCCCTCTTTTAGAGACAATCAAGTACAGTGACTAGGAACATGGGTTCTGGAACCACACAACTCACTAGCTCTGTGACTGCACAAGTCACCTCCTCTCTGTGCCTCGTTTCTTCATCTGTAAAATGGCTAATAAGAGTATCTTTCCTCTTGGGATTTTCTGAGGATTGAGGAGTTAAGATATATAAAGCACTTAAACCAGTTCCTAACACGTGTGCCATCAATATTATTGTGAAACCAGACAACAAAGGCGTCAGGGTTTCCTGCCACTACTTGAGCCAATTAAGCAGAGACAGGGTTGAATCCTACATGAGTGTTCATTCCAATAATGCCGCCAATATGGGAGGGCAGCAGGTCATCCACAAAAGTCTGCTCGAGCACCTCCGACCAGCTGGCTTAAGCAGGGACCAGGAAGAAGGCTGCATGCAAGGGGAACAGAGGGGTGGCTGCAGGGTCTGTGGTCCTGTGTCTCTTTCCAGGATCTTGAAGTCTCAATGGTGTTAAAACCCAGCTTGGCCAGTTCCTGGAACCTGAGAATGGTCAGCGTTCCTGCGGCAAACTCCCGGAGGGGTCAGGGTCTAAGCACAGCAACCAAATCAAAGCGAGTCCTGTCCTCTGTCTGTTCTCAAAATGCATTTTCTTTTCTGAGCAATGAACTCATCCAGGTGTCTCTTACCTTTTTACAGCTGTTTTTCTTCTAGCACAGTGGTTCTCAACCTTGGCTGCACATTAGAATCACCCAGAGGCCCAGAAATCAGGATTTTAAAAAGATTCCCAGGTGATTCTAATGTGCAGCCAAGGTTGAGAACCACTGTACATCCTCCAGTTTTCCAGGGTCTGTAAGAAAACTTATCTATAGTTAGTAAGGTCAATCATCATTAAACAACTGTGGCCCTATTCTTATTGTGTGCCCTTCCCTCTACGACTCCCCCGCCCCCGCCATCAATATTATCATCTTATATCTATGAGATTAGTTTTATATGGAAAGTGTCTTGCTGCTGAATTGTATTATTCCTGGAATATTATAATTTCCCCTTATAGATTTTTGGCTCTGAACCCTTTCAGGAAAAAGGGGCGTTGGTCTCTTCTATAACTGCTTCTTGCTGATGGGGGTCAGAGTCCTGAAGTCCTCCCTGTCTGACAAAAGAAAGAGGGAGCCAAAAAGGGGAAAGTAGTTTTAACTGCAGCCAATAGTAAACGTCTATGTTTCATTGACTCAATAAGTCTAAACCATTTTGAGTCTTACTTTTAGGACACAGTGATGCAAATGGCTTCTACAGTGAGACCTATACTGTGTGAGCAAGGAATCAGGTAAATTTAGGCATACATTCTATGAAAACAGAAGCAAACAAAACACAAAGGTTAGTGCATACAGTAAATCATAAATCAGCAAGATTTTCAGATATAAGGCTTCCCCTGAAATGAAATCATACAGTGACAATCTGGTAGATTGTCTGTAGTTAGAACATTTCTGGTGATGTCATCAGGGCTGAGGCATAAACAGACACAGCCTTAAAAATAAAATTTTGAAGACAGTTAATTGTACTGGAACCTAATACCCATAATTGGACATCATGGTTTCAAATGAAGCACATTTTTTTCTCCCTAAGATTACCCTTTTTTTCAGAGATTACATCAAGTCTAGTTTTTCGTTTGGCCTGACTATTTGCATAAACACAACAATAGTAGCAATTGATCACACAGGGTTTCTCGAATTTGCTTTGCTGGAATTTCATTCATTTATAAGGAATCTTAGATTGAGCTCTAATGAGCTGTAGGCCCCTCAGGGGAGAGAAGCCAAAGCCACGGTTGCCTGGAATAACTGTATGTTTTGGTCGTGTCCTCAAGTCCTTGAGGTCCCAAAGGTGTCTTGAGGTTCCTCCTTGGAAAGCACTTACTTAGAAAGACTGCCATGAACCATGTGACCAAGGAACGTACCAGGCTATTTCTCCAAGGGCTTATCCCTTCAAAGTCAATCTTCATTCCTCAAAACTTTCTGGTGACATCCAGAGTCCTGGAATTTCTCTCTCTACATGACATTCCAGTCAAAGTCTTGGTTAATAAAACCACACTTGGAAACTGGCTTTATAACCTGTTATGAAGGAATTATATTCTTATTGGATTTATCTAAATAAATATGTTGCTATGAGAACAATAATACTCACTCATTAAGAGTTTCCAAATTCCAGATGGATCAGGTAGGAAGAAAAATGTAAATGCCTCAATATTGGTTATGAAAGTATAATTTACCAAATTGCTTTAAGAAACAAGTTTCCTTATGTCTGAAAAACAAAAATATTAAAAATCAGCAATACTTTCAACAACAAAAATTATAAAAACTATAATTATTTTCAGTTCATTCAGTCCCATATTAAATTTTTGTTTGTACTGATTATTCTTGCCAGTACTTCTATAAATCCAGATACTCTATAGAGTTCTATTCATTTTCATCCAGTTAGAAGGGGATGATCTGAAAAATCTATTCTCAGAGTTATGTAATTTAAAATGTCAGAGTCCTTTCCATGGATCTCTCAAAAGATGTAACATTTTTGCAAATGCATTATAACAAAACAGTGACTGTCTCTAAATGACAAGAAGAAATGTAAAATGACACAGATTGTGTGTGTGTGTGTGTGTGTGTGTGTGTGTGCAGGCAGACTTGTTGTAAAGGATAAAGCTAGCCTTGTAAAAGGGGCTTAGAAACTCTTTTTACTATGCTCTGATTGTACAGCCTGAGAATAATCTGTTTGCTGAAAGCCCAGTACAATTTGCCTTACATACCATCTTAAAATAGACTTTTCTTAGGGTAGATGATGGACTATTTTTTTGTACCTTCTATGGGTATCAGTCTATAAATGTCTTTTATATGTTCTTGAGTCAACTTTGTAATTATATTTGACTACAAAAATATAACATTCTTTGTTTACTTTAAAAAATAAAATAAAGTTAAATTAAATTAATAAAATAAAATGACACATTTATGGATTTTATTGTAATGTAATTGACATGGAACTCTATCCTTTCTGCAAAACACAATATTCCAGAGTAACAATTAGAGTTACAAATGAAAGTATATCAGAATTTATAGACTCCTGGAGATTTTTATGTAATCTCCAGAACATTCATTTTAACAATATGCACATATAAATAGAATATAGTTGTTATTTCTTTATTTGACAAAGCTTCCCATGTACCTTAGGCATAAAATTTTCCTTCATAAGAAGAGAAAACAAATCTGTGAGGCATTCCACGACCTACTGAAATGACCTAACGCCAATTCTAGGTCAAGAAAAAGTTTTTTAAAATTCAAACCCTGGGAAGGTTGTCAAACATATTTGATCAAAAAATTATATTATTATTATTATAAAACAGTATTAAATTATTTATTCATTCAAAGTGAAACAGAAGGGTATTAAACACAAACATAGGCTAGCAAAACTTCAATTCCCATGATTAAGAAGATGGCTTTTTAAAAAGTAAGCAAGTACCTGATTAATATAACATAGTATATAATCATTTCAATAATATATAGAACTTTTGCTTTCTAAGCAAATACAGAAAAAAACTTTTTCCCTTTTAACAGACTGGAAAGGGACCAAAAGAGTTTCGTATTAGTTTACTTTAGATTCATTTATCTAATTAAATGTATTATTCAATTTACCTATATGTTTCTTTTTTCTTCTTCCCTCCATAAAATTTCTTTTCAACTTGCACAGGTTCTCTGCAATTTTCCTAGTCCCTTTCAGTGTTCTTTTTCTTAGCTCATTCAGAAATAATCAACTTTAGAACCATCTAGTTTCAATTCTATATTACCAAAATCATATCATTTCTTTCCAATTTAATTAGAATTCTTAATTCTTAGAAACCTTGACCCTTTGGTGACAAGTAAGTAATTAACATTCCTCTGATTAGCAATACATCCACATTTTAAAGAGATCTCTCTATATATATATCTATATGTCTATATCTCTAGCTCTATCTATCTATCTATCTATCTATCTATCTATCTATCTATCTATCTATCTACATAAAAGCCTAAGCAACCATTAAGTCAGAATGACCAGAATGACAGGAACAATCAGTCGACCAGTCGCTGTGATGCGCACTGAACACCAGGGGGCAGACGCTCAACACAGGAGCTTCCCCCTGGTGGTCAATGCACTCCCACAGTGGGAGCACCGCTCAGCCAGAAGCTGGGCTCACGGCTGGCAAGAGCAGCTGTGGCAGTAAGAGCCTCTCCCAATTCGGTGGCAGCACTACTGAGTGGTGGCAGCAGGCACAGCAGGCACAGCAGGCGCAGCAGGCTGGGATGAGCATGAGCAGCACAGTGCCTGGCCCCAGTTCTGGCTCCTCCCTGGCTGCCTGCCACTTGGCACACTGCTATATCCCTTGGGGGATGTCCGACTGCAGTTTAGGCCCAATTCCCCATGGGGTTCCAGATTGAGAGAGGGCACAGGCCGGACTGAGGGACACCCCCCTCCAGTGCACGAATTTTGTGCACCAAACCTCTAATATTTTAAATCAAATACAAGACATATTCATTAACAGATTCAAACCCATCCTCTAGAATAGATTCTCTGTAGTAAGAAGCCAAAAGTAGGCAAACTCAGATTAATTAATATTTCACTATCCTGTTATTTCAGAATACCTAGATATTTAATAATTTTTACCATTAAACCCAGCAAATTCCAAAGTTTCAAGTTACCAAGGACTTTAGAAAACTATGTTTAGGTGTGTGTGTAGATAGATAGATAGATAGATAGATATAAAATTATTACTGAAAAGCTTTATCCAAACCCCTTCATTATAGTTATATTTATTTATTATGTCTTAACAATTTTATGAGGTTTTTAAAGCCAATTATTATTACCCAAGGCATTTTCTTGGCAGATTTTGTAGCAGGAATAACA